GAGGGAGTCACAGACTGAAACAGGCTTCAGGCTCCGAGCTGGCAGTCAGCACAGAGCCCGACGCGGGGCTCGAACCCACGAACCGCGAGATCATGACCTAAGCGAAAGTCGGACGCTTAACCGACTAAGCCACCCAGGCGCCGCTTTTTTCTTTTTCAACACAAATGCCATACGATACAATTTCCCCAGAACAGAGAGGGTTTTTTTATTTTTCATTTTTTATTGTTTGTTTGGTTAAGCAGTCTCCACACCCAGTGTTGGGGCCTGAACTCATGACCCAGAGATCAAGAGTTGCAAGCTTTACCAACTGAGCCAGCCAGGTGCCCCAAGTTTTTTCCCTCTATTTCATTCAATCAATCATTCATTTATACATTTATTCATTCTTACATCCATTCTAAAAGCATTTATTGAGGATCCAATATATACCAGCCCCTCTGTGAGTACAGAAATGACACAGCCTTCGTTCTCAGAGTTCACAGTCAAGAGATAAACTATTACAAAACAATGTGATATGTAGCTCAGATGAGAGTTAGAGGGGTGGTCATGGAGGAAGGCTTCCTGAAGGAAGGGGCTCTGTCAGACCAAGGACTGGTAGAGCAGTTCTGCTGTTAAAGTTGCCAAGAATAGATGAATAAATTAATGGGTGAATGAATTCAATTCAGTCTAATTAGCATTTTATAGACTATCCTACTGCCCATGGCATGGTGCTCTGAGCAGGGAGTGTGCAGGTGAAGAGGGGCATCTCCGGCCCTTAAAGAGCTTCTAGTTTTACTGGCAGATACAAACATCTATGAAGAGATGTTTTGGGGGCACCTCTGTGGCTCAGTCAGTTAAGTGTACCATTCTTGATTTTGGCTCAGCTCATGATCTCACAATTGGTGGGATCGAGCCCTGAGTGGGGCTCCATGATGACAGCCGAAGTGCTTGGGATTCTCTCTCTCTCTCTCTCCCTCTGCTCCTCCCCAGCTTTCACTCTCTCTCAAAATGAACTTAAAAAAAGGGAGAGAGAATGTTTCAATAGCATGTAGAGAATTCTATGGGGTAGGCAAGCTGCTTCAACAAAAATAGAGGACGCGCTAAGCTCTATTAGTAGATGAAGGGGGGCTCTAAAGTCTATTAGTGTAGGCTTCCTAGAATGAACTTCTTGAGTCTTGGATATATTCAGCAGGTGAATAGAAATCATTGACAACTTCTATTCAGAGGATTAATATGGTCAAATTTGTATTTGTGGTAGGATGGTGGGGGGGGCGGTGCTAAGGGGAAAGGAAGTCTAAAATCAACGACACCAGCAAGGAGGCTGAATTATGAATAGGCTTGAAGTGAACGTTTGATCTGGAGACAGAACTTGACAGTGGCTGCAATTACTCAGGGAGAGTATGTAGAGAGCAAGGCGGATGGATGTACTTCTTGGAACCAACGCTCTTTAAGCAGCTGGCAGAGAAAAAGCTGGAAGGACACCTAAAGAGAAGAGTCTGGAGCAGAACCTGGGGGTCCGGGTGACTAAGGAGAAGGCGGAGACAAGGAGGACCAGGAAGAAGGAGACAGATGTGCCCAGTGCTGTCCAGAGAGAGGTCCCAAAGCATCCGTTTGATCTGGCCCAGGTGACCTATTCCAGAACAGTCTCCGTGTTAGCGGTGCAGGCGGGAGCCGCACTGCAATAAACAGTGAATGAAGGAGTAAAAAAAGTGAATGAAGAAATCAAGCGCTGTGCCCTCACTTGCCCTGGGAATTTCCAGGGCCCACGTCGGGAGCTGGTGCGGAGGAAGGGCCTTCCCTCCCGACAGGGCTCGGGAGGCAGCCGGGGAAGCTGGTCAGGCTCGCAGCCCTCAGGTAGGCGCGGCTCCAAGGTCAGGGTCACCTCCGGCCTCCAGGCAACCCGTCACCTTGACGACCAACTGGAAAAAAAAAAAAAACCGGAAAGGGCGGAAGCACTCAGGTCATCTCGCGATATCCGGCGGGCCGGCGCCGGCCTTCCGGGCCTGGAAACCGCGGCCGGCTCTCGCGAGACCCGCCTGGAGCCGGAGCGCGGGGCCCGACCTTAAGGAAAGCGCGAGCCGCGGGTGGGGAACATGTCGGATTCCGAGCTCGGCAGGAAGTGGGACCGGTGCATGGCGGATACGGTCGTGAAGATAGGTAAGGGGCCTCTCGCCCCTGCAGGCCCCGCCCGGAGCCGAGCGGCCGGCTCCAGGCCCCGCTGACCGCGAGGGCGCGAGGGGAGCCCCTGGGGAGGTCAGGCCGACCGGCCTGGTCCAGCCCCTCCGACCGGGACCAGCTGCCCGAGCCGGGCGGGAGGTCACTCGGGCGGCGCGGGGGCGGGGGGGGGAGGAGGAGTCGCAGCGCCGAGGGACTGGGGGACGGTCGGGCTGGCAGGTGGCACGAGAGGTGCAGAGCTCGTGAGTAGAAGAAGGCGGCGTGCAGGGCCCAACCCCGTGCCAGAGGCTGGAAATTCTCCTTCGCGGGTGGAGCCGGGTCAGGGTCACAGTGCGCCCCAGCTGACACACGAGCCTTTTAAAGAAGGTCATGGGGAGCGTGTTATAGACACCGCCAGGCCCTCACGGGAGTTGCTGTCCTTCCCGAGTTGTGATCCGATTTATTGGCGTCAGAGTAGTCTGCGCCCCGAAATTGGAGACACAGTGACCTGGAACGAAAATAGTCCTGGGAAGTAAGGGATTGGACACTTCTGGGTTCTTGACGTAACAGCGCGGAGGCTTTTAACATGTGCTCAGTGACGACACAGAGTATGAAGTCAGTGCATGGAGGGGAGGGGAAAGATGGAAGCTCGTTTATTGAGCGTATACTAAGTGCCAGACACTGTGCTCGGTGCGCAACTCAATACGTTATGTCGGACTGATAGTGAACCCGAGAGGCAGGTGAACGAATTTGACCAGGGTCTAATAAGTGACAAAGTTGCTAACAAATAGCAAAGTTGGAAATTTAACTCAGGTGTTCTGGCCTCAAGCCCCATGCGCTTTCTTTGCTACTAATTCTCATTATCCAGATTTGATATTGTTGTATGGAAAATTGAAGAGGATTTAAGATTGTGCCCATTGAATGAAAATGTTGAAAAAGATTTAAGATTATAAGCATCATGAAAACAGATTCCTTCTGGTTTATTCACCGCTGTATCCCCTGCCCCTTTCTAGGTTTTCTAGTGTTTAATAAAAATTGTTGAAAATAAGTTAATAAGTGTAGTACTTGATCAAAGCTGCCGCTTCCTCCTTGGATTTACTTACCAGCTGTGTGATTTGGGGCAAGTTGTTTAACCCTCTGTCCCTCTGTTTCCACATTTGCAAATTGACAGTAGTAATTATTACTGTTTCTCAGTTGTTAAGATTGCCAGTTAGTGTTAAGTAAAGACTTGAGTATAAATCACTTAAGAATGAGTTGTTCTGTAAGTGAGCCAAGAAATACAGTTTTTGTTATTGTAAACAGCTCACATTTAGGGGAGAAGATGTAAAACATGGACATTCTATTTCCGCAGTAAGTGAGGTGCGTGGGAGGCTTAGTCTTTAAGTGTCCAATTCCTGATCTCATCTCAGGTCATGATCTCCCAGTTCATGGGATCAAGCCCTGAGTTGGGCTCTGTGCATGCAGCACGGAGCCTGCTTGGGATTCTCTCTCTCTTTTTCTGTCTTTGCCCCTCCCCAGCTTAGGCTCTCTCTCTGTCTCCCTCTCTCCCTCCCTCCCTATATATAAATAAATAAAGCCACAATTAGCACTAAGCAGTATGATGGCAGTGGTTAAGAGTGGGAGTCAGACAGCTGCGTTAGAAATGACCACTCTTGCCCTTCACCCCTGTCCTCACTAGTTTGTAGCTTTGGGTAGGCTCTCTTCCTTCACTATGAAATGGGGATAAACAGATTTACCTAAAAGGATTGGGAAGATTGAAGGATAAGATAGTTAGCACAGTGCCTGGCACTTACATAGCAAATGGTAGTGGTGATAACTGTTGATATTAATACTTTTGTGCCACGAGGATCACCTGAGGCAGTGAGTAGCGTCACTGTCATTCATGAGTGGGACATTGGTGAGGGGTGGGGTATACACGGGTGAGATAATTAAATGAGGCACAGCGATACGTGATTACAGATAAAAGTTTTTTTATTAAAAAAATTTTTTTTGTTTATTTATTAGAGACAGAGCATGAGTGGGGGAGGGGCAGAGAGAGGGAGACAATATGAAACAGGCTCCAGGCTCTGAGCTGTCAGCACAGAAGCTGATGTGGGGCTCAAACCCACGAACCACGAGATCATGCCCTGAGTGAAGTCGGACGCTTAACCGACTGAGCCACCCAGGTGCCCCGATTACGGATAAAAGTTAAAATGAGTGATTCAGGCTCCTTCTCCTGTAGAGCTGTTAGAAATCAAGTGCAGTGATGGGCTGAGGTCACCCAGTGAGAGTTTGCAAGGAAAACAGCCTTTCATCTGACCTTTGGAGAATGGCTTGGGCTTGAATAGTCAGGGAGGGTGGGAGTCTTTGAACAGAGGCCCAGCTGAACTTTCACAGAGCAGGATACTGAAGCGTGGGGCGGTTAAGAAGCTAGACGTGGGGGAGCAGGGGTTAGAATACAGCTCTTTCAGCATCCCTACTCCCTGAAGAAGGGTGGTTTGGGTGGAGTCAAAATTGTGAAATGTTGTAGAGCAATTCCACTTTATCTTAAAGGCTTTTGAGTTGCCTTTGGCTTTTCCACATGTGTTCTGCATATTTGACACGGCTGTCTTAAAAATCTTGTTACTTTCTGCTTCTAGGGCTCATTAGTTCTAGGCTGGTGTGGAATCGCGGGATGGTTTTAAGCAACAAATATTTATTGGGTTCTGGGCCAGTCAGTGGGCAAATAGAGAAGCAGAAGGCATTGCATTCCCCTCAACAGAGAATTGATGTGATATAAATGGAATTTTGGTATGATTGATCTGGCAGTGTTCTACAAAGAACAGATCAGGAGTTGAGGAAAGCCAACGGTACTGTGAATGTGGAGTGATGAACGCCTGCACTGTTAGACCAGAAAGGAATGAGTATATTTGAGAAACTTCAGACTTTGTCCCCCATTTATAAAATGGAGACAATAATTACCACCTTCTAGGCTAGAACAGTGCCAAATTCATAGTAGGAACTAAGTAGACGCGATTTTCTTCATCTTTCTCTCCATATGGTTAACTTTGCCTCACTCCATTTCCTGCCAAGAGGACTCCAAGGTGAGAATGAGGTTAAGGGGTGATTCATCGATCAGAACTTGGAAGTAAAACAGGAGGGGTGTGTGTGTACCTCGCTTACACAGAGTAATGTAAGCCTCGTGACTGATCATGGGAGTGGCAAGAGAGAGGCCAATGAGAACAAAGATCGTGATTTTGGTTGCTTTTCTGCATGTTTACATGGTTGAATTGTTTGAGAGTGATAATGAAGTTGAGAAGGAGGCTTTCATTTTGCAGGAAAAACTGAGTTCAGTTATGGAGGGCATAGTCCCCTTAGTAGGTGGACTTAGCAAAAGGGTGTGAGAGGGAGGAAGCACAGAACTATTACTTGGGGAGGCTTTAGTCTGAGAGGTCATTGAGACGGTGCTGATGAACTACACTCTGTAGTGAGTGCATTGGCTCCTCTTCCAGTAGGCAGCCAGGTTATGGAACTCCTGGTCCTTCAGAGCAGAGGCGGGGTCTCAGAGTGGCGGCCTGCCCCGAGATAGAGAGGTTTTGTAGCAGATGCAGGCAGGGAAGAAGGGCCAACATGGGCTTTCACCTAGATCTCGGTGGTGTCATGCTCTGTGGTGACAGAGACGGAGGGGAAGCCAAGGTGAATGGACAGCTCCTTTGGTGTGTGAGCACTTCTCTGTTTGGCTGCCTTAGACCTCAAGCGTTTTTGCTCTTTTCTCACTGGTTTGCCCAAGAATGACTATTTTCATTGCTCGTGTTTAGGCTAGAGGTAGTACATCTGAGTTAAAGAGCACATAAGCTTGTACTTTAGACAGTTCTTTAAAAAACAAACCGACCAACAAGTGCCCTTCAAGGATCTCTTTCTCTGAAGCTCGGGGCTCAATAGTAGAGTCTCCTTTTATTTTGTCCGGTAGGAAGAGCTGCATTTATTTATGAATAGCTTTTCCCTGCCCTTCGCTATCATAAGAAAAGCAGTTTTATTTTCCCTGTTAATTTTGGTTTTAAAATATCTATTTTGTGTGTCAGAGGAGCATGGTAGGATAGGTGGTTTCTAATATGGTTTGACCTGATATATTGAACCCATGAATCAAACAAAACAAAACACAACACATGCCTCCCTGTAATAGGCACAATAGCCCATTGTTCCTTACACATCTGTTTCTCTCTTTCGGCTTGTGTTCCTTTCTTTTCCTTTCTCCCCCTCACATTTTTACCCTTCTCTTTGGCCTCTGTTCTTATCCCTGCCACTCATATGCATTGCCTAGTTCCTGCATAAAGTTGAAATTAATGTATCTTTTTTGAAAAAAAAAAAACACAAAAACAAACTTGTAAGCATTGAATAAGTTCCTAGGTGTCCTGCTTCTGAATCTTCACGTCACTGATTTTTCTTAATAGCACACATCACCATCTGAAATTTCCGATTTGCTTCTTTTTTTTTTTTTAAATGTTTTTTTTTATTTCTAGGAGAGAGAGACAGCGTGAGCAGGGGAGGGTCAGAGAGAGATGGAGTCACAGACTGAAACAGGCTCCAGGCTCCGAGCTGGCAGTCAGCACAGAGCCCGACGCGGGGCTCGAACCCACAAACCGCGAGATCATGACCTAAGCGAAAGTCGGAAAGTCGGACGCTTAACCGACTAAGCCACCCAGGCGCCCCCCGATTTGCTTCTTTACTTGAATGTGAACTCATGAGACTCAGACATTTCTGTTCCCTGTTGATCCCCTAACCCCTGGCATAGAGGAGACATACAATAATTGCTGTTAAATGAATGACATGTATTGCTGAGAATTTTGCAGACTACATCTCTGCCCACATTTACCCCTCAGTGTGTGTTTATTAACCGAATGAATTAGCATTTCAATTAAAAGTCAAGTAAGGTAGATTCATGTGAATTTCTGCCAGTTCACATGTTTTGATCATGTGTCCCTGGGATCATGGGACTTTTACCAACTTTTTTTTTTTTAATGTTTTTTTATTTATTTCTAGGAGAG